AATAATAATAAAAATAAATAAATTTTACAAGAGATGGATATACTTTCTTTTATAATAAAGGTGGATTCAGAGCAAGAACTATTATCTGGGAAAATCAACTAACTGAGAAATTGCACATAAACTTTTACTCAGATAAAAACGATTTTGGCGATGCAAATCGATGCAAATGCTCAACTTGGCTTGAATTGAATTTAAAGTTTTGCGATTTGATTGCAAAGAGCTGCGACAAGGATACAATCCGAAGACCTCACAGCTGCGAAAGGATCAACAATTGCAATTGAGAAAGGATTCGGCTAAAGAGTTTTGCTCGCCTTTTGGATTCGCTGAATGAATCCCCGAAGCGGCTTTATGCGCAAAACTTTGCTTGTTATTTTTAATGGCCGGCAATAATCGTTAAATGTGTCGACTGTGTACTCGGCAGCGGTGATGCTGCCGCTGCCGCTGCTGCCGCTGCCAACGTCCCAGTTTCTGTTCGGATGCAGCTCAGCAGAATGGCCCACTCCCAGCCAGAAGCTCCGTCCAGGAGCCGTCGAAGGGGCTGCTGGCAACTCAACTGAAAATTTCATTTCGTTTCGCAAGAGCTCCGCACCGCACCGCATCGCACCGCACCGCATCGCACCGCACCGAAGCGAACCGCACCACAGTTGGGGCAATGGGTGGGCCGAAAACTTTTTAGACTTTTTGTCGACTTTTCGCATTTTAAGTTGCGGCCAACTGGCAAATGCTGGCTCAGCAGGCGCACAGCGATGGGGCAGGCCTTAGCCTTAGCCTCGGCTCCAGAACTCCCAAATGTTAATTTCATAACCCGATTCGTGCACGACTAACTGTTGTTTCATTTATTTGCGTTCTATGCAAATACCCTGCGCCCACATGCGCCACCCATTTGGGCGTGGCAGCAGCGTGGTTAAAGTCCGAATTTCAGAAGCTATGAGCAGGAGCAGGAGAAGGACCATTTTCTACCTGTTTGCATAGAGGCTGTGTTTTTCCTCTCCTTTTCTTTTTTTTATAAATATTTCAGAATTCTAATCAAGATTCAGCTGGTTGGACGCTCGAGGACACTAGCTGCCCACAACCTCTGCTGGGTTCAGCTCAGCCCAGCGCTGAGCCCATTTCAAATGGCAGAAAATGTCGTGTTGATTCTGTTTTGGTGGCATTTTAATGTCCTGCCAAAAGCGCCATTCAAAAGCGAATTAAAACGCTGTGTAGGCCAATATGAACAGCTCGTATGAACTGGACACGTTTTTAAAGTAGTAAATAGAGACAATTTAGGGAATAGATTTTTGGAGCTAGTGCAGAATCTGTACTCTATATTATCAATAAAATATACAGCACAGATTTTGCAGTAGCCCCAAAAATCTAATAATTTTAATTTCTAATCCATCAGACTCGCATTATAAAAGCAGCAGAAAAAAAAAAACATAGAATGGAAAAGTAACAAATTTTATTTTCTAGAACTATATAAATGTAAGCAGGTATATATAGCAGCAAATAAAATACTTTAATCTAATTAT